CGAAAACAGCACGCCTGGCTCCATTAATCAAACCCCACACATTACGTCCTGTGGTTAAACCTGCTGTGGTATTCCTGTGGTGTACCCCATACATATTTTTGCCTCCTAATTTTTCTGACCCAGGCATTTAGCCCCTTACCCAAAGGCGCATTAGAGGCACTCTTACGAGACTTTCCATATAGACATGTGCAATTCGTTTAGTTACGAATGCAAATTCGGACAAATTTCTGAAATTTGGACCTTCGGATGTATCTGAATGTCCGAAGTGCTGAATTTCCGAAGTGCCGAAGTACTGAATTTCGGAATGCCAAAGTTCCAAAGTGCCTGAATTGCCAAAGTTCCGAAGTGCCGAATTTCAGAATGGCGAACCGAATTGCAGAAGTGCCGGATTTCCGAATAGCCGAAGTGCCAAATTTCGGAAGTGCCAAAGTGCTTCAGATTTCTGAAAAGTGGAAAAACTGGAGGGTTAGTGGTTGGGGTAGGGTTAGTAATTGGAGTAGGGATAGGGTAACTCTATTCCTACCCCTAACCCTACCTCTAACCCTACCCCTACACTTACCCAAAGTGCCGAACCGCTCTATCGGATTAAACTAGACGCTCATACAGTCAAGCTCTCGTTATCTTCAACAGATTCATTACTGAATACCAAAGCAAGAATCCTTTGACATTAGTTACTATGGTGGCATTTACCTATTTTTGCCACCTAAATCTAAAACTCACTCATAATACTATAAAATATCACTTTATAAACACATAACCCAGCCACAGTACCTTTATGTCATTACACCCAATAAAGAACATTTTAAGAGGTATCCTACGATTAGAAGGCCCCAAAGCAATAAAGCGGCAACCAATAGATGGAAAAAAAATTCAGAACCTTATCCTATGTCTTGGATACGAAACCTTTTGAAAAAGAAACAAACAATACAATTAAAACTGCTATATATCTGGCCTTCTATGGTTTCTTACGACCCAATGAGCTCACAGTAGAGAAAGTAAAAGACACTTCCAACAGGCTAAAAATTGCTGACCTAAACAAAATAGGCGACCACTATATTTTAACATTACGACAGTCTAAAACAAATCAAATGGGACCACCTATCAACATACAACTATTCCCTACAGGTAACAAGTGGCGCCCAGTTCAATTACTTGACCAGTATCGATTAACTCTGATAGGTCAGGCCAAAAGTGCTCCCCTACTGAGCTTACATGGTGACCCATTAACAACATCAAAATTAATTGTATACATTAGGATTTTGTTTACAAAAATAGGTTGCGATCCTTTGACTTTCACTGGCCATTCATTTTGTATAGGTGCAGCAACAGCAGCCTCTAGTAAAAATGTACCAGTGCACATAATCAAAAGCCTAGGACGATTGAAGTCCTCCGCAAACAACCTATACATACCACAACCTGAAAAAGAACTTAGTCAAGCATTTAAAGAGTTAACTAAATAAGGATAAACTGTTATATGTTCGTGTTTGATTTTTACGATTACATACCTATTAAAGTTTGCATTTGTTACAAATCTCTTTGTGCCCTCTTTATTTACAGGCCTACCCGAATGTCGGTTTCGGCACACCACAACCTTTAGTACAAATAATGGTTAACATTTACTTAGCTTTTTTCCCTGACCACAAATAGGAAGGCGAAGCCTGGAGTTGTGGGAGGGGTTGATCCGGCCTATATAAACCCAATCCTACTGTGATGAAGTGCCCTTCGCCACTTGTTCTTGGAGAGGCCTGCTTGCCAGCCTCTTGCCTTGTGACTATGGCCCCTGGGAGGTATTGCCAGTTAAAAAAAAAAGTCTGGGCTTATTGGATATTTAAAACACTTTTTCTGCCCCTTTATTTCCATGGGAAAATGTGCCTCTTCCCCTCCCCCTTTTTCCTGTTCTATTGTTCTCCAGCAGGGCGTTGTCCCAGGTACACCGCTAGACCAGTTGAAACTGTTGAAACTGGCTGCTTTGTCCCTCCTCAATCTCTCATCAGCCCTTGCTATTGTTTAACCCCATGACGATCCAACTGTATTTGTGGGATCTGAGCGCTTTTCGGACATATTGAGCGCTCAGATCCACGCTATCTGGGGATATGTTGGACATATAGGTAAAACATTGTATTATAAGAGTTATGTATTTTTATGTAGTTTTTGTAACAGCCTAAATCTGTGGAACTGTTCTGGGCTTGAAAGCCATGCTTGCGATCGGTCAAATATGACTTCCATAAAACTTTTTAACTCCTGCTATGATCTGGGTGATTTTCTGGATATGTTGTTCACCCAGATCAGGGCTATCCACCTAGACATGGGG